AGCCCCCCACAGCCCAGCTAGACTGTGGACTGGGTCACTGACGTCAGTCCTCTTACCAGGTCCTCCAAACTCCACCAACCCAGCTCAGCCACCTTATTTGGACTGTTGCGGGTGGACTCGTGTCAGTACATCTATATGTTTGAAACCATCAACCTCATCCTGCGTCTGGCAGGTAACCTCTTCTTGAAGCCTACCTCATCCTTCCTCATCTACTCATTGCAGGTATTCACTGGCAGTGTGGACCGCTGCAACTGAGCACAGCTACTGAGGGCTCCATCTGTGGCCTTCGTACCTGTCGCTTGATTGGCTAACATCAAGACCACCCACTGGCAATCAGCGATCACTCACGGTGAGAGACACCCACCTCTACTTGACACCCACCCCCCCCCGCCGCCCCGCACCCTCTCCACCTCTAAACCTCGCCTCCTCTCTCTATTCCTCATCCTCCCCTCCACTCTGGAGATGGTATCTTAGATTCCATACGCCGCCACGTCCTTCCACTCCCTATACCTCCCATCTCCATCCCCCCCCCCGCCCCCTACCCACACCCCCCACCCCCACACCACACTCCCTCCTAACTCTCATCACACCTTCTACCCTCATCCTCCCACCTACCACCCCCCTTCGCAACGCACAACAACAATATAACCATAAAACGATTACTCCATAGAACAACCACTACACAACCAATCACACACCAAAAGGAAAGCAAAAAAAATAAAAAAAACAAAAAAAAGAAAATCTGCGAAGAAAAAAAAAGAAAATAAATCAACAAACAATAATGATAGACTATAAACAAAAGAAACAAAAACCACGGTACTCCAGCATACTATACACGCAAACTAATATAAGGTTATGTCTACACACACACCCTAACCCAACGACACAATACTACAAAGAAAAAACTGACTAAAAGCCAGACAGAACAATAAAAAAACACAACAAGAAATAAACAGCAAACTAAAAAATTAACAAAACATCACGCAATGTGTATAACAATAAAAAATCACAAGTATAGGTATAATCACAGGGGAACAACATTAACAATCAAAATCCAATAAGTCATATAACGCAAGCATCTTGCAGACAAGCAGGACACTAGACAACAACTTAAGAGTGATAAGCCAGTTTGAAAACCCAAGGATGCTATAGCATACCACTAATCAGAAAGCGCTCCCCGCCCCAGCTGAGGTAAACGCACGGGTGCGGCCGTGAGGCGTTTCTGGGAGCGTCAGCTGCGCGCGAGGTCATCGGTCGCAAGTGGTATCTGGTCTGTAATACCCGGCTCCTCTCTTCATGTATCATCATACACTGGTGCAAGGTGGGAGTTATAGCCACAAACTGTGCGTGACGTCGGGTTGGTCTTAGCGATGGGCACGCGGCAAATTGAACGGAGTGTGGTCGCGGTGTGAACTGTCGACATGATATGACGACCATTTAAGAGTATGTTGGGGTTGTTGTTTTGGGGGGTAAGGGTGTTTGTTGGCAGTTTCTATTTCTCGGGGGGTGTGTTTCTTGTTTGCGCTTGGCCTTTTTTTTGTGTTACGCACGACTCTCATGTGTCAGCCTCTCCAGGATATTGATGTGTCGTGCGTCAACCGAGAGCTTTTTACGTCATCCAAGAGACTGGGCTTCAGAAACATTAGTCTCGATTATGTGAGGTGTGCCTGCCTCATTGCACACTCGCAAAAAAAAAAAGCACACGACAGCGTTTGTTGTCTCCGCGACACAGTAAAGGCATAAGACTGGCATGTAAACTAAAAAATCATAAGAGGGTCATTGGACAAAATAGTGGCATCTCCCCAGTCTTCAGTCGGGTCTAAAAAAGATATGCATAATTAACCGTCAAACGTCACAATCACTGACTCCCATCAATCAGCTTCTGAGTCTGCAGTGCAAAAATCAAATCTTCAAAGGGTACCTCCCATCTCTTTCCTCGCTCTTCTTACAGCGGAATTCTCCTGCACCCTCTTGTTCAAGGTGATGTGTGCGCTTGAGTACGTGTCGCAGTCGGCTGGCAGACTCATCGTGGGTTCATCTGGTAGGTCGTGTGGTTGCAAGGTAGAGGGTGCTGCTGGTGCTGGCAGTCATGCAAAGAGCATCTCCCCTTTGGTTGTGTTTCTTTATGGTCCGCGTGGCTGGGGGTTTTTTCTCCGGTTGGTGGCTTTTGGGCGGCGAGTAAGGTCAGACATATCCAAAGGGTTGAGCGCGGTGGTGTGTTGAGGTGGGGGGGTTGAACGGAGGAGCGCCGTGTGTTTGTGGCTTGGGCGGTCGGGGTGTTGCGCGGTGGTTTTGGGACGGGGCCTGGCCGGGGGTAGGAAATTGTCATCATGGTGACGGTGGGATGGAGCCTAAGGGAAGAAAGAAGTAGCAGGTGCTGGGGACAGAGATTAAGGGAGAGAGGAATCGAGAAAATGAGGGGAAGTGTCAAAATAAAACAAAAGGGGTCGGGGCGGCAGCCTTGGGGTGCGCACCGCCACGGGTTCCTGCATCTCTAAAAAACCTCGTTTCAACAAAACCCAGCCGACACAAAGTGGAAGAGGCTAGACTGCACCAATTGAGCGAAAAAGATCAAGCGGGGGCGTACGAGAGACTCCTAACGGTAACCCGTCAAAGTGTACCAGCACAGTCTATGGAGGATAAGAAAGCCGGGCACCATGTTCCAAGGGCCAAACTGACCAACAACACACACACACAATAACACAAGACCCACTAAACCACCCGGAGAGCCGATCTGAAAAAAGGTGAAAATCAACCAACGAGGACCAACCCTAAAAAGCGGCAAGACCAAAGAAGGAACGAGTGGACAAAGGCACCTAGGCAACGTGGGAAAACGAAGGGAAAAAAACAAAAGACAGCGGGAGATCGTCGGAGGACATCCAACGCCTAGAAAAGAGAGGGAGGTGGGAAGGCGGGTAACGTTAAGAAGCAAAAAAAACAAGGGGAACCATTCCAGGACGTGAAGTAAAGGGAGGATGCAGAGACAGGTAAAGAAGAATACAGAATGAGGGAGAGAAGGGAGGGGAAAGGAAGAAAAAAAACTTGTACAAGGTGGTTGCAACAGAGCTACGCAGACCACAATGATCGTCTTCAAGTTTTTCATTAGTGTGGTCAGGTGGCCTACAGCCATCATCAACTCATCTTCCATTTTGCATAGAGTGGGCTGAGTGTGGTCGCCGATAGTCACAAAACAAACTGGTGGTCTTTCTTTTAACAGCACAATGCATTATGCTTTATGACAGTCACAAGTAGTGTGCGATAAGAGAAACAATGCGACGGACAAGTACAACAACAAAAAGGCAGACAGCAGGAAGAAAAGCAAAAAGGAAATGACAAAGATAGCACACTAAGGACATAAGATCACACTACAGCACTCATTGCGATCTAGGTTCAGGCAATAACACATGTACGGCTTTACGTTGCCCCTGTGGCGCGCAATGCCGTGCCGCATCCTGCCGCGAAGCATAGAATTGGATTCTATCAACTCGCGACGACGAGCATGGTGCGTGACGGGGTCAAGTGCGCACAAATGTTTATTGTAATGTGAACTTCTAGCACTCTACATTTTTCCGTACGTCAAGCTATGTAGACCTCTACAATGTAGACACCCTGACTCTGCTGACTCATACCATTGCCACGAGCGTAGATGTGCCTTAGCAAGAGCCAGCTGCATACGTTCTTGGTCGCGTGTGTTGCCATACATGTCAACCTAGCCCTTGTGATACCTCCAAGGGATGTACATAGCAAAATCACGTCATACTTATGGATGATCTAGCTGTCACTTCTTCTTAATGCAGGATCCTCCAGTGAAGACGATGATTTCCTGTGAGCTGGCATACTTCAAGACAAAGATCTCCATCAGAACACACAGCAGAATGCTCCACGGCTCTCCTCGTGGGCGGGGCTAGTGAGAACGAGGGTGGAGTTCCACTGGACACATCTTCATCTCAATCATTTTGTCCCCATCCTCTACATACAGCTTCAGCAGTGGAGACAAAGGTACAGTCACCACCAGCCATCCGTTCTCTCTCACTATGAATCTCTACCCCAGCCATTCTATTCTGGCTCAACTGCAAGAGTGTGTACAGCTACTGGCAGAACCAGAGAAAGTTGCTCAATGAAGAGGTTGCGTATCACTGGTGTTCATCACAACCCACTCACTCCCTCTTTACATTGTGCAGGTCCAGATTGCGACAGAGAAGTTTGTAGCTCAGATCCAGTCTCGGAGACGAAGCCAGACAGCAGAAGAGCTGGAAATGACTGTGAGGGCTCCTCTCTGGAATTCTCCAAGCCTCGTCTGGTCCAGATCAGCATGACTGATGTTGGGGCCTGCATGCCCATGTCTCCTGTGGTAGGTCAGCAGGGAGACTGGTATCCCTAGTACTGTGTGCCTCTGTGCAGCTCTACACTCCGCAGACCTCACAGTCATTTCCAGCTCTAGTGCTGACCGTGAAAGAGATGCTGCTAGTTGCTGACCTGAGCAGACGAGTAGCCAGCTCTGGAAGCCTGTCTGGCTTCTGTCTGAGGTTTGCCAACCAGTTCACTCTGAGACAGAGAACATGGACCACAGACCTCAAGAAGAACAAGATGATCAACTGCGGTGAGTGTATTCTCTCTCCAACTCCTAACCCACGGGCTCTGGCTCCGTAGGTATCGTCAGCCCAGGGAACCTTCAGACTGTGTGTGGCTACAAAGAAGCAACACAGTGAACTGATGATTCAGGTATTGCTTAACGTGCTCTTTTGCTTATATCATTTGTGTCTCCGTGTGCAGTGGTTCTTTGGAGAGAAAGTGGTGTGGGCATTTCCAATGGGACATGTCAGGAATTGACGTCAATTGCCAATTCAGACATTGGCCACCATTTATCTACCTTGGTCCGCACGGCAACAACCATTGGCACCAGTTTGGAGGGTCAGCAACCGACTCACCTCGCCCGCACCACTGCTCCTGCCACTCCTCCCACCAAGACACCTCGCAAACTGCACAAGAGAGCCATGTCAGAGGCAGGACCAGTCAGACACGAGCCCAGAGAGTCCACATGGAGGAGGGTATGACCCAATCTGGCCAAGGGAACTATCAACGTCTCCAACTTACAGTGAGTCTGGCTGTTCACTGGAAACAATGTTACTACTACTTCCGTCTCCCCATCAGGTCTCTGGGTGCCAGTCGAGAGAGCATCAAGAGGGAATGGAGGTCCTGAAAGAAACAGAGCAGCAGCTGAGGAAGAACGTGGGCAAGTTGTTCAGACGACGCAGGGGCTTCTCTTTCCAGAGAATCGCCGAGTTCTTCAAACCAACCAGTGCCGGGAGGGTGGGAAGAGGAAGGGGAGTTGGGATGCAGAGACACTGGACTTTGAAGGCCCCTCGGAGGCTGTTCAGTGCTGGAGACTCAAGGTCTACCATCCCGGAGGAGGTGCCAGAACTGACCCATTCCCCAGTGAGGCAGCGAGCAAAGACACTGCCTGGAGGCAGACATCTGCGCACTGTGTCAGATGTGACAGAGCAGTTCACAACTGCCAGAGATGAGGATAGCTCTTCCCCTGGCCTCACTCCCTCAGGTCTGTGTGGGTCATGGGGAGAAGGCGGTGTGGTGTAAATTTCAGGCTATCCTGCAGCAACTCCAGTTCCCGGAGAAGAGGTCCCTGGTTCTCCGTTCCCTCCCACTCCATATTCCTCCACCCCTGCCCACCAGACCTTCTCCTTCCTGCCTCAGAAGCCAGCTGAGTCACAGCGCAGTGGACTAGTCACCTCCATTGATGTGGAGGTCAACATCACAGTCAATATAGACAGTGGAATAGTGAAACTGCGCTGTAAGGAAGAGAGGTAATATTGAAGGGATGTGAGTTGCTCAAAGTGAGTTGTTCATCTGTTTGGCAGTGTTCCAATTCAACGGACCTCCAGTCCAAGTCTGCTTGCTCATGCCCACTACCTGATGCACACCTACTGTGCTTCTTCCTCCTCTCCTCTCCAGCCACGCAAGCAACAGGGCGGCTCAGCAAACGACACTATTATCATTCTCATACCAGCTCTCAGTGTTCAGGTCCACTACAAATCTCTCATTGGAGAGTCCTATCAGTTCCCTTCTCCATCCTCATCCCTCGCGCCATTGACCCCCCACTTCCCCGAGCAACAACTACCGAACATTGAAATCTCCCCAGGCACTCCAGACTCTGTGGCCCAAGCCCTGAAGAGAGGAGTACTGGCAGTGTCAGTGGTGGTTATGTCGACTCCTGAGGACATGACTCTTACCCCAAGTCTACTAGAGTTTGTGGAGCAGGTCGTGCGACCCACAATCGCAGCCACAGCGGGTGGCAAAGCCGACAGCAGTAGTGATGGGGAGAGTGAGGAGGAAAGCGAGGGAGAGGAAGAGGAGGACACTCGGGAGAAGACGGACACTCCACCCATCTCATTCCCAGTCGACGTCACCATTGTGTTTCACATGCAGCCATCCAGAGTCTGCTTCTCCTGCCAGCCTCACTCCCAAGTCCACTGCATTGTGTGCAGCCCCAACGTTAACTTTGTTGTTTCCTTTTCCCTCTTCTCAGCAAGAGAGGTGGAGGGAGCAGTCATCTCCCCTACACCCCACTCGGTCGTCACCTTCAACAACCTGTTTGTGACTGGCTGCCTCGAGACCTTTACACTGCAGGTCCTCAGTCCACAAGTCTCTTCTCTGAAGCAAAATGAGTCAGAGTCAAAGACAACAGACAAAGAGGCCCTCTCTTTAACTCTCGGGCAAGCCTTAGTTCACCTGTCCCGCAAGTCGGTGCTGGTAGCAAGCAGAAAGGGCTCTCCAGAAGCTTCTCACAGCCCAAGCAAACTTCAGGTGTCGGGTGAGCATTTTTCTTAGCTGAGGTCTTTGCTGACCTGTTGTGTCTTCTTGTTCTCAGTGGTGGCCAGCATTGCCAGCCTTGTGCTCGGCTATGATATGCGCAGACTCAATGACCTCACTGCATTCCGACGATACTGGTACAGAACTAGTCTCGTGGAGTCCTTCATCGGCTCAAAGAAACAGCAACAGTTGGAACGCGAGACAATGGAGGAGGGAAAGATTGATGGTGGCAGTGAAAGTGGAGCAGAAGAGGCTGTGGACAGCAGCACATCAGCTGCGATTGTGGTTTTAGCTGCAGTGGAGGACTTCAGATTATCCGCCAACGTGGCTCAGGTCATGGGGAACACAGAGTGAGTTCACAGCAAGTTTGGTCTATTCCACTTCCTCTCCGGCTTCCCCAGTCTGGTGGTGACCCACCTCCAATGCCAGGTCCATGCTGACGTCAGCCACAATGAGCTGGTGCTGCTGAGACTGGCAGGAAGAATGGAGAAGGGGGAGGTGGATGCACGAGGGGGTGTGGTGGCTGGAACTATCCTAATGCAGGATGTAGTAGCCCAAGGTATACATATAGGACTAGAGAAACTGCATCAGATATGAGAATCCTCTCTTTTTTCCAGTCACTACAGAGAGTCATTTAGGCCTGATCCCCGTACACTCAGCTAGGATAAGTTTGGCTGAGGCGGAGACGCGGGTGGACTACATGAGCTCCTGCATCTTGCTGGGCCGAGCCTCTCAGCTGGTGGTCTCTGCAAGAGATCTGTGGGAAGGACTTCAACTGTCTGGGCAGCAGGAGGAAGCAAAAGAGGCCAACATACAGGTAGCAGTTACTCCCTTATCGTCCTACAGACCACTAGCCGTGTGTGCAGGTGTTAGTGGAGCTGTCGTGGGAGCAAGTGCAGCTTGCCATCCAGAGAACAACTACCAAGTCCCTGATGAACATTGTGCAGAAGATCCAAGACTTTCTGCTTCAACAGAAAAGGAGAAGTGAACGTACCATCAGTATCATGCTGCCTGCAGATACTCGGGTCTCCAAGGCCTTGGCTGCTTACCGTGAGAAGGAGAAACAAGCTGAGAAGAAGAAAGACAAAAATGAAGGTGAGGTGTGCTCTGCCAGTCACACACTACTTATTGTTGTCCATGGTGTGCAGTGAGCTCAGAGCACCACTGGCTGTGGGCCACCAGGTGTGGGAGTTTGGAGCTAATGAGAACACTCGGAGTGTCCTCTCAGGCAGGCCAACACCATGTCTCTCTGGGAGGCAAGATCTCAGTCTCCGGCCAGAACTTCTGCCTCGTCTGCTTCCATGGAACATCGTTCAGGGATCATGAGTGGGCTGTATTCAACATCGACCAGGTGGCTGCCAGTTTCCTTACTCTGGCCATTCCAGGATTAGAGACAGAGGCAAGGGGCAGGACCCGCATCTGCCAGCAGATCTGCCACCTACGGCTTGGAGAAAAGGGCTCGAAGCTGGCAGAGCTGGCGACTGTGCACAGAGTGACAGCGGGCAAGGGGAGAGTCCCTGCCATCACTGGCACTAACATCAACAACTGGCTCGCCTACGTCTGCATTGACAATCACCTCCACCAAGGACACTCTCCCAACAGCCAAACCCAGGCTCAACAGGCGGTGCTCAAGTTCAGCAAGAAGCTGAGCATCCAGCAGATCTTACTGGTTCCAACTCTCAGTGTGGAGCTCATCAACGACCACTTCTGGCCCGTCCTTCGCCCTGGTCTTCTCACACAGCAGCTGCTGCAGAACCCTCCACTTGTGGAGTGCAGTCTTATCTCTAGCTTCTCTACTCCCATCTCTGTCAGCACTAATGTAGAGCACTACCTCTTCCTACACGACCTTGTGGTCAACTATATTGAGTATCTGGAGAGACACAAAGTTCCCCTCAGTAAGTGTTTGTTCGCAGCCATACAAGTAAATAATAGTCTTTTGTTCGTAGACACATCATCCCTGTTGCAGCGAACATTTGCCATTGTGCTCATCACTGATAATGGATGTGTGTTGTATATTACCCACAGGAGATACAGAGGCAAGTGCTAAAAAGGAGATGACAACGGAGGAAGAGGTGGACAAGGGAGGAGAGAGCAAGCGGCAGTTCCAGTGTGTGTGTTGGAAGCTGGAGCCTCGACTGACCCTACTGTCATCAGTCAGTGGAGAGTTCAATCCTCACATCAACTGGCTACTCCAGAAACTTGGCTTCAAACATGCCCAGACCACCATTCCCAAGTGGGTGCAGAGGGGAGTCATGGACCCTCTTGACAAGACAGTGGCTCTCGCTGTGGAGCAGCTCATGCAGTTCAGCGGCAAGAAGAAACTGAAATTTCTGGCAAACTCTCCTAAGTAAATACGTAATCAACTGATTAAACCAGGGCACAAGACTTGGTTTCGTGATTATTACAGCAGTTTTCATGCTTCTTTGCACCGTCAATTAAGCTTAAAGCAGTGTGTGCATGCGTAAGTTTTGAAACATTTAGGGTTTACAGAGGTACCTTGAAACCTCACAGCTTTTCATTAACCCTCGGCGCGCATGCGCAGCGAGGGTTACTGTAGTTGGGTTTGTCTGTCTGTTGCTCTCAATCTCACTTCTTGAGTGTTTGTTCGTCTCACAAAGGATATGATCTACTTAACGGGCAATGAAGGTCAGAAATTTCGAACGGTTTTCTCTGAAAGTGCTCCGTTGCAAAGCTAGAGCGCTTCCAGCATTGTATGGCTAATGCCGGTAGTCGCCATTTTATCGCTGGTGGATAATGCGCATGCGCTTATATTTAGCACAGGCTTACATACCTCGACCGGGTCCGCTTGCTCTGTCTATCTTGAAGGCACAAGAAGTCATAACGAATGGCGTGTATCGACTCTCGCGTGCTATCTACTACTGTAGCTAGCCCGTGTCAGACTCTCTGCGAGCTACTTCGCCGAGGGTCTGCACTTTAGTTATAATTATTATTAACCCTCGGCGCGCATGCGCAGCGAGGGTTACAGTACTTGGGTCTGTGTGTCTGTGTGTCTGTTACTCTCAATCTCACTTCTCGGGTGTTTGTTGGTCTCACAAAGGATACGACCTACTTAACTGGCAAGGAAGGTCAGAATTTTCGAACGGTTTTCTCTGAAACTGCTCCGTTGCAAAGTTAGAGCGTGAAAAAGCCAATATACAAATACGCAACAGCTGAATCGACCATCTATTACACATTGATTATAGCAATAGATTGCAGTGAAATTTGTTGTATCTAAGTAATGTTGATAGTTTTTGAACTATGGTGAAGCAAGAAAACTTCCATGTAGCAGTAGAATGCAACGAAAACTTCACTGTGGATAATAAGTTGCCCTAGCTTTCGTACTTTTTTCAAGCAAATGAGTGGAAGTGAAGCTGAATTACTGAAGTGCAAACCCTCGGCGCACTGTGAGGCGCACGCGTAAGTAAACGCATGCGCCGTACCACTAATTGATGGGTTGGGTTTAGTTTTAGCTGTTACTCGTGGTCTCTTGCCAGCTCGCGCAGAGTCTGACTCGGGCTAACTACACTACTAGATAGCATGGGAGAGGCGATACACGCCCTGCGTTGCATCTTCTGGTGCCTCCGAAGTACGCAGAGCACGCGGATCGATCCAACTGTGGTAATATGCAAATAAGAAAGGGACGGGATGGTTTACCGCGGTCTGATCGATCCGCGTGCTCTGCGTACCTTGCTTCACCATAGTTCAAAAACTATCAA